TGTATAGGAATGCTTGTGATTTTTGCACGTTGATTTTGTATCCTGAGACTTTGCTGAAGTTGTTTATCAGTTTCAGGAGATTTTGGGCTGAGATGATGGGGTCTTCCAGATATACCATCATGTCATCTGCAAATAGAGACAATTTGATTTCCTCCTTTCCAATTTGGATACCCTTTATTTCTTTTTCTTGCCTGATTGCTCTGGCTAGAACTTCCAGTACTATATTGAATAGGAGTGGTGAGAGAGGGCATCCTTGTCTAGTGCCAGATTTCAAAGGGAATGCTTCCAGTTTTTGCCCATTCAGTATGATATTGGCTGTTGGTTTGTCGTAAATAGCTTTTATTGTTTTGAGATACGTTCCGTCAATACCTAGTTTATTGAGGGTTTTTAGCATAAAGGGTTGTTGAATTTTGTCAAAAGCCTTCTCGGCATCAATCGAGATAATCATGTGGTTTTTGTCTTTGGTTCTGTTTATGTGGTGAATTACGTTTATGGACTTGCGTATGTTGAACCAGCCTTGCATCCCCGGGATGAATCCTACTTGATCATGGTGGATGAGCTTTTTGATATGCTGTTGCAATCGGTTTGCCAGTATTTTATTGAAGATTTTTGCATCTATGTTCATCATGGATATTGGCCTGAAATTTTCTTTTCTTGTTGAGTCTCTGCCGGGTTTTGGTATCAGGATGATGTTTGTCTCGTAAAATGATTTGGGAAGGATTCCCTCTTTTTGGATTGTCTGGAATAGTTTCAGAAGGAATGGTATCAGCTCCTCCTTGTATGTCTGGTAGAATTCAGCTGTGAACCCATCTGGACCTGGGCTTTTTTTGGGTGGTAGGCTCTTTATTGCTGCCTCGACTTCAGACCATGTTATTGGTCTATTCAGGGTTTCGGCTTCTTCCAGGTTTAGGCTTGGGAGGTTGCAGGTGTCCAGGAATTTATCCATTTCTTCCAGGTTTACTAGTTTATGTGCATAGAGTTGTTTGTAATAATCTCTGATGATGGTTTGGATTTCTGTGGAATCTGTGGTGATATCCCCTTTATCGTTTTTTATTGCATCAATTTGGTTATTCTCTCTTTTCTTTTTTATTAATCTGGCTAGTGGTCTGTCTATTTTGTTGATCTTTTCAAAAAACCAGCTCCTGGATTTATTGATTTTTTGAAGAGTTTTTTGTGTCTATATTTCCTTCAGTTCTGCTCTGATCTTAGTTATTTCCTGTCTTCTGCTAGGTTTTGAGTTTTTTTGATCTTGCTCCTCTAGCTCTTTCAATTTTGATGATAGGGTGTCAATTTTCGATCTCTCCTTTCTTCTCATGTGGGCACTCATTGCTATATATTTTCCTCTAGAGACTGCTTTAAATGTGTCCCAGAGATTCTGGTATGTTGTGTCTTCGTTCTCATTGGTTTCGAAGAACATCTTTATTTCTGCCTTCATTTCATTGTTTATCCAGTCAACATTCAAGAGCAAGTTGTTCAGTTTCCATGAAGCTGTGCGGTTCTGAGTTAGTTTCTGCATTCTGAGTTCTAACTCGATTGCACTGTGGTCTGAGAGACTGTTTGTTATGATTTCTGTTCTTTTGCATTTGCTGAGGAGTGATTTATTGCCAATTATGTGGTCAATTTTAGAGTAGGTGTGATGTGGTGCTGAGAAGAATGTATATTCTGTGGATTTGGGGTGGAGAGTTCTGTAAATGTCTATTAGGTTTGCTCGTTCCAGGTCTGTGTTCAGGTCCTGGATATCCTTGTTGATTTTCTGTCTGGTTGATCTGTCTAATATTGACAATGGGGTGTTAAAGTCTCCCACTATTATTGTGTGGGAGTCTAAGTCTCTTTGTAAGTCATTAAGAACTTGCCTTATGTTTCTGGGTGCTCCTGTATTGGGTGCATATATATTTAGGATCGTTAGCTCTTCTTGTTGCAGTGATCCTTTTACCATTATGTAATGTCCTTCTTTGTCTCTTTTGATCTTTGTTGCTTTAAAGTCTATTTTATCAGAGATGAGAATTGCAACTCCTGCCTTTTTTTGCTCTCCATTTGCTTGGTAGATCTTCCTCCATCCCTTTATTTTGAGCCTTTGTGTATCCTTGCATGTAAGATGGGTTTCCTGGATACAGCACACTGATGGGTTTTGGCTTTTTATCCAATTTGCCAGTCTGTGTCTTTTGATTGGGGCATTTAGTCCATTGACATTTAGGGATAGTATTGTTATGTGTGAATTTGATGCTGTCATTTTGATGCTACCTGGCTGTTTTGTTGGTTAGTTGATGCAGATTCTTGATTGTGTTGCTGCTTTTTTACCATTTGGTGTGTTTTTGGAGTGGCTGGTACTGGTTGTTCCTTTATATGTGTAGAGCCTCTTTCAGGAGTTCTTGTAGAGCAGGTTTGGTGGTGATGAAATCTCTGAGTGCTTGCTTGTTCACAAAGGATTTTATTTTTCCTTCACTTATGAAGCTGAGTTTGGCTGGATAGGAGATTCTGGGTTGAAAGTTCTTTTCTTTAAGGATGTTGAATATTGGCCCCCAGTCTCTTCTGGCTTGTAGGGTTTCTGCTGAGAGATCTGCTGTGAGTCTAATGGGCTTCCCTTTGTGGATGACCCGACCTTTCTCTCTGGCTGCCCTTAGAATTTTCTCTTTCATTTCAACCCTGGTGAATCTGACGATTATGTGCCTTGGGGTTGCTCTTCTTGAGGAATATCTCTGTGGTGTTCTCTGTATTTCCTGGATTTGAATATTGGTCTGCCTTGCTAGGTTAGGGAAGTTTTCCTGGATAATATCCTGAAGAGTATTTTCCAGCTTGGATTCATTCTCTTCATCACATTCAGGTACACCTATCAGACGTAGATTAGGTCTTTTCACATAGTCCCACATTTCTTGAAGATTTTGTTCATTCCTTTTTGCGCTTTTTTCTCTGTTCTTGCCTTCTCTTTTTATTTCATTGAGTTGGTCTTCGACCTCTGATATCCTTTCTTCTGCTTGGTCAATTCGGCTGTTGAAGCTTGTGCATGCTTCACGAAGTTCTCGTGTTGCGTTTTTCAGCTCCATCAATTCACTTATTCTCCTCTCTATGCTGTCCATTCTCGTCAGCAGTTCGTCCAATCTTTTTTCAAGGTTCCTATTTTCTTTGCGATGGGTTAGAACATGTTCTTTTAGCTCATTGTAGTTTCTTACTACCCATCTTCTGAAGTCTGATTCTGTCATTTCATCACCCTCCTTCTCCATCCGGTCTGGTTCCCTTGCTGGTGAGGAGTTGTGATCCCTTTTAGGAGGAGAGGTGTTCTGGTTTCGGGAGTTTTCATCCTTTTTACGCTGGTTTCTACCCATTTTTGTGGGTTTATCCACCTGTTGTCTGTCTCTGTCCCAGGGAGTTGGAGCTTTATGAGTTTCCGTTGCACTACTGCCTTTTTTGATTTTTTTTTTTTTTCAGGTCGGACCCGCCCAGCTAGCAGCACGCCTAGCCACTGCCTGCCCGCAGGGGCTTTGCTGAGCTGCTGTGGGCTCCGCCCAGCTGCCCTGAGCTCTTCCCTATAGTCCTTTTTATATGGGCGTAGTTAGAACTGTCTGGGCAATGGTGGCCCCGCCTCTGTTATGGAGGACTCTCTCTGTTGTGGCAGGTTGCCTCGGCAACGGCGGGTTGCCTCGGCAACGGCAGCCTGCCTCCGTAGTGGTGGAGAGTCTCAGTAATGGCGGAAGCCCCTCCCCCACGGAGCCGGACCGTCCCGGTTCAGCTGTGCTTGGTTTGAAGGGCTCAACCCAGAGGGTTTCCAATTACTGTTTTTGTTTTCGTTGTTGTTGGGGGTGGAGGGGTGGGACCAACCGAGCCTGATCACCTGGCTCCCTGACTCAGAGTCTTTTCTTTTAAGTTGAACGACCCCGTGTTCCGGTCGCTTGTTGAAAAGGCGCCGGGATCTCCCGTGCTGCGACTCACGGAGTCGGCTCGAACCGCGGCGCCGGCTCCTGGCGGATTTTTTGCCTAGGAATCTCCTGGCCTGACTCGCTATTTCAGATGAATGGGCTATTCTGCCGTCTCAAGGCTCTGCTCGCCAGCTAAGAGGGTTCCCAGACCAGTGGCTTTTGTACGGAGAACCGCAGCAACAGGGAGTGGTCACAGCAGCCGCGCGGGCGGAATCAGCCCCGTGGGGGCCAAAACAGCCGTACCGGCTGGGACTGCGACGCTGGCGACCCCTCTGCCTGGGTATCTCCTGGTCTGTGGGCAATAAGAGTTCGTCTGGAAATGCGGCGTCCACTCACCCTCTGCACTTTCACTGGGAGCTGAAGTCCTGAGCTGTTCTTAGGCGGCCATCTTGAAAGTCCGACCTATTTTATATTAATTTATACAAAAAAACCTACTTTTCTGTGTGAAATAGAACAAAGACATCTCTTTATTTAGAATACTGATAGTTTCAAAAAAAAAAGAATACTGGTAGTTTCTAAATTTTCTTTATTATGTAGTTGAAAATATCTTTGAATAATTTTAATTTAAGGGAAGACTTTTAAATCCTGTTTTAAATTAGACTTTTCAAGATCAGCCTAATGGACAAAAATTTGTTCTATCATGTCAACAATGTATTAATATAATTTTTGAAGGGGGGTCATCGAACTTTCCTTTATTATCAATCAGTATTCTCAATTCATTGAGAAGTGACTATCGCCCTAATCTTAGTAAATTAACCAATTTTTAAGTGTAATCTATAGTCATTAACATTATTTAATACTAACTACACTTTGATTTCATAATTTAGGGTATACTTGAATGCAAAAAATATTATAAGCTGGTTTCTTTTAAATGGAATTTTTAGTTTGTATATAAATTTGATATTGCAGGTCTCATATGATGATCATGAAAAGCTGGTTATGTCAGTTTCAAGAATAGGTTATATTATTTGTACAATTACAAACCGTAGTTGTGTTTGTCCATCTTTATGAGTTTATCTTTTATTACTTGAAATAAGTGAATTGTTGAATGAAGCTACATAACCTCCTTTTTTCTCCTTTCTTCTTCAGAATCAAGTTTCTTACTGGGAAATGCCCAGATTGTGGATTGGCCTGTAGTTTATAGTAATGACGGTTTTTGTAAACTCTCTGGATATCATCGAGCTGACGTCATGCAGAAAAGCAGCACTTGCAGGTAGGTAATAGAATACCTAAGTAAACTTTTATGAAACGTAGCAAAAATCCAAATGTAATTAAAATGCTTAAGCTTACTTGTACTCACATATACAAACTATAGAGTTAAAAATTATATTAGAATATTAGGGAGACTAAATGATCAATGGAAACATATAGCTGAAGAGCCATTGGTGAGAACTTTTGCCAAAAGAAAGATTTTTATATATCTGTGAATTAATCAATTCATTCAATAAATATTTTTTGATCATCTACCATGAGCCAGGAAAGTCTAGGTGCTGGGAACATGTTGTTTCAGGGAACAACTTGTGGCATGTGATCTACAGCACCTTTGGAGCAACTGAATTGTCTTGAACAAAACAGAGTAAACACCACCTGGCCAAGTTGAACATAGTCCATAAGAATGTAAAGAACATAAAATCAAGCTCTTACATCCTGTGTAAGCCACATGTACTTGGTAATGGTACATTGTGTGACTTACGTACAACAGAATCTGATATTTATATTATATATAATGGTTCTTTAAAAAATATGCCATTTCTGTGAGCTTAAAGAGAATATTAAGAAGAAAGGGGATCAGAAAAAAGAAAAGGAGACTATATATAAGGGACCAATTTAGAACCTAAAACTTTTTCACAATATTTCAGTAAGGCCAGATGGGATGTTTTTTCCATGAGTTAATTTTTCTTTAAAGCTCTCACTTAAGTAAGCACTGAAGCAAGTTATTTTAGAACTACAAGGGATCTGAATTTTTTTTTTCTAGGCCAAATCCTCTGTTTTTCAGATGAGAAAACTGAGGTAGAACTATGTTAAGGGATTTGCCCAGAGAAACAGTGATTTATTTTTTTCTACCCATTTATGCCGAGAAGCATCATATATATATATATATATATATATGTATGTATATGGATATTATAGTTACATATATATACAGTTGATCCTGGAACAACACTGGTTTGAACAGTGTGGGTCACTTATAGGTTAATTTTTTCAACCAAATGTGGATCAGAAATATAGTATTAGAGGAATACAGTTAAAAAATACAGTATTCAAGGGAATGTGAAGCCCTTGTGTACAGTAGGCTGACTTTTTATACATGTAGGTTCCCAGGGCTAACTGCAGGACTTGAGTGTCCACTGATTTTGATATATGCAGGGATCTTGGATCCAATCCCTTGTATGACACTCTCCCTCTCTGTGGGGAGTGTATATATATCACAGATATATATACATCTGTATATATATCTGTGAATCAATAAATTCATTCAATAAATATTTTTTGATCACCTACCATTTGCCATGAATCAAGAATCAAGAATAGTCTAGATGCTGAATAATCAGAGGAACATGTATATCTGTATATATACATACATACATACATACATACATATATACATACAGAGAGAGAGAGAGAGAGAGAGAGAGAGCGAGAGTGCGAGAGAGAGATAACTCGGTATGTAGAAGGGATTGGTTGATGACTCTTTCTCTCTCCAGATATCCCTCATCATCATGAAAGGTAGATATTTTATATTATACTATTGAGTTTAAACCTGACTGCACATAGCAATCACTTAAATAGATTTTGCAAAAACAGATTCCCACCCCACTTAAACCTACTGAATTAGAATCAGTAGGTGATTCTGAAGTGGGTGGGTCAAGCAGGGAGTCAGTATTTTTAACCAACAGCTTAGATGATTCTGATGCTTATCCAGGCTTGAGAAATAATATGCTCGAACATTCTCTTCCTTGATCTATGCTACTCTAGCCATCCTCATTTTTTGCCTCTTCTAAAGGCATTCTCATATTCAGCCTTCACTCCCAGGTATGAAATTGGTAAATGGGAGTGATGAAAATATGTGGCCTCTGGTTGAGACGATCCCTTTGGTAGCACTGATATTGTTGGTCTGTATTAAGCATTGCTCCTCCCCTATCTCCCAGAAGGGAGTTTAAGTTAGAAAAAGTTGAGTTTTATGGTAGACCTTATCCTGTGGAACAGGTCCATAGAGAGTTCCAGGGGCCACAGATACACTCATGCACCCATTTCTTATTCTTGGACTGCTGACATCCCGTCTTCATGCCAGATTTGTCTCAGGTCTCATCTTCTACCTGAAGGTATTCATGATTCCCTTGACAAGACAGGTTTTTCCCTTCTCTGACTCCTCATAGTTTCTTGTGCGTATTTCTGTTGGCATCATCATTTGGCCTTAAACTAACTCGCCTTATCCCTTGGGTTTTTATTCTTATTGCTTTATTGCTTTTGTTGCCATTTTTGAGAAGTACTACTCTTCATATCTGGATCTATTTTTAAGTCCTGCTCTCATCCCTTCTTGTGTCCCATGATCTGCCCTATCCCCAGCCTATTTTCTTTGGCAAGTACAATTTTCCTACAAAGAATTCACTAAGAAAATCAGTGCTGGTGATTATGTTAGCTCTTTTCTTCTCTGAAAGAGCTGCTTTTCTTCTCGTAATGCAAGTACCAGATTGTAAGTGACTTAAAAGTAGGGACTCCATCTTGCTCACTTTTGTATGCACAACAGCATGTAAGACAGTGTCTTATGTCTGTATTTATTGAATTATATTGGCTTGTTTTGCAGTAAACCCTAACCTAGGTCTCACATGCTTCTATTATAGCATACTGTTATTTCTTGTGTTTCATCCTGTGTTATGACATTTGAGGTGGGAGAGTTTTGGATTATACCTGCTTTTTAACTGTAGAGAGAAGTGTTTGAGTCTTTCCCCAAATTGTCTTTGCTTATCAGAGATAATGTTTTCAAATGATCATGTTCTTAATGTAAACAATTATTACTTACTTGCACAAAATGCCAAATATGTTTTGTTAACCTAAAAATCGCAAGCACTTTAATGCCCTCACAGAACGAAGATGACTAGTGTCTGATATAGGAGCAAACATCTGACTTCTATCAGGTTTTCTTGGAAGCATGATTTATTTTAAAGTGCTCTTCTTTTAAACTTCCTCATTCTCTTTTAAAATTAAACTATATCCATTTTATGTTTGCTATAGCATTATTTAGAAGACTGAAGACCTGGAAGTAATAAAAATGTCCAGTAGTAGGTTTTGTTAAAAAATATGATGGCCAAGTCCTATTCATCTACATCATATGTCGTATATGCTGGAACGACAATGACGCTGGAAAAAACTAACAACATATTATCAAGTAAAAAAAAACCCTAAAATAAAACAAAACAACAAGCCCCAAACCAGTCCCCAAGCAGTTTATAAAAGTGTTTGCATCATGACTCAAATTCTTTTACATATAGCCTTTTTTTCCCATTTCCTGACTAAATCTAGAAAAGCCTTTAAATATGAGACACAAAATAACAGAGAGAGAAAAGAAGAAAATTATATGCACATTCAGAAACACAGAGTTAATGGCTAAAAGTTATTATAGTATGTGGAATTACTGACTTGTAAGTGAATATGGAGATAAGTATTTGATACTGAGAAAATCCTTGTAAATAATTTTAAAATTTTGACATAAGTTTTTAGACAGACATAAGAGAGTAAGAAGTTACAAAGCAGTGAGCTTCATTTTATATGGGAAAATACAACCTTTAACACTATATATTTCAGAAAAAAGATTCATTTTTATATACAATTTGTATTAGATGAGTTACAGTCTATAGGATTAAGTTGGTAACTGAGTAAATGATTACATGCCATAGTTTTAAATGTTTAAAAGTGAATTGTTCTATGGTAAAATTAGAAACACATGAATTGGTGTTTTTATAATATCAAGTGGCTAATATTTCTTTCTTCTGTTTTCTTATCTTTTTCTTCTTTGTCCTTCTCAACCTCTCCTGCGTTGGACCCAGACAAAGAATTAAATTAAACATACTCCTCAATTTGTCACAATATTATCATTTTGCTCTCTCTAAGCAAGGTCTCTCTTTATTTCACTTATTTTTTTTCCCTTTTACTTCTTTTCCCTTTCATCCCATTCCCCATTCTTCCTTTTGTGATTATTCATTCTTGAGTGTGTTTATTGTACATCTTTCTAATCTGTGTTCTGTTTTTTTTAATTAAATATGTGTATTCTTGGCATGATATTGCTTTGCTAACATTGGTTTTTAAGATCTATGTAATTCCCACCACACTGTAATATGTATGTTTTTTTACTCTTTTCATTCAACATTACAGTTTTAGACTTCTTTGTGTTACTGTATGATGATCTATTCATCATGTCTGATTGTTGTCTGGTGTTCCAGTGTCTTCACAGCCTTCGTTCTATTTATACATTCTATTAGTCCTGGAATCTAACTTCAACACTGCTACCTTGAACAACTTGGAAATAAGCATCTTCCTACACATCTTCTTGTGGTCATTTTTGAGAAGTTTTCTGTCTCTATCTCCAGAAATGGGATTGCTGGATAATAGAATATATGCAGAGTTTGTAAATTAACTGCTGTAAGATTGCTGCCCATAGAAGACTTCTCTTTCCACTCTCAGCAGCCGTTAGTGAGGGTTCTGGCTTTCCTTCATCCTTGCTATGTCATAATGGTACTGAAATTCCTATTTAAAAATATCTGATGTGTGCTAGGTATTGTCTCATTTTTGTTTTAGCTAAAATTATGACACTATGACACTTTCAGTATCCCAGGAACTTCAAACCTTGTTCATTTTACTGTCTGACTATTGTGTTTTTCATGCCTTTGGACTATTTTGTTGTTTATTGGAGGAAATAAAAAGTATCGCATGTTTAAAAGTGATTATAGATTTTGGGAGGATGACATTTAAAAGCATATGATCTTATCTCATGACCTATAGCAGCTCTGACATTTGGGATATACAGGGATAATCTGTCATAGATTAGGTAGGAACCACTTCAGCATTTTACTTCTAATTAACCTAAAGCTTGTAAGAGCCTATTCTGCTGGGTTTTTTTTTTTTTTTTTTTTTTTTTTTTTTTTTTTGAATAGAGGGGTGAGAGGAACAATCAGGTAGTTTAGGTAGGGAGGATTGAGGGGGAGATAGATGCTCTCA